ATGTGATCATCATGTAAAACATGCAAGGGTGGGGGGTACCAATAACAAAAATGGGGGGTATGAATAATAATCCCCTACAGGAAAAAGTAATTATACCAACTTTGTGTTTACTAGTGAGTGTGAATCCTATGGCTATTGGCGAGAGAAAGTGCATATCTCCATAAATATCGGTTCAAATAAAATGAACGAATATTCATTTTAAATCTTAAAACCTTTAGAATTTTTTGGCTACCAATTATTTTAGCCATTTTTGTGAAATTGAGTGATCTACATCCAAATTTTCAATTAGTAAATTTCGACCAACTGAAACTTTTTAAATCCATACTTAGATCACTAATACCGATTTCATCCAGATCGGCGCCAAATCCATAAGATATTAAGGTCTGAATTTCAATTAGTAAAAAATAGCCGAATTAATTTACTAATTGAAATTCGGACCTTCGGGACCTAATATCTTGATGGATTTGGCTTCGATCTAAATGAAAATCAGTATATAGATAGATTTCATAATTGAAATTTTGATGTAGATCACTCAATTCACAAACAAATTATTTTTAAAATTCTAGAGGTTTTGAGGTTTAAAATGAGTATTTGTTCATTTTATTTGAACCGATATTTATGGAGATAAAAATTCCAGAAAAATTTTTGGGGATGGTGCAATAATTATGTGAGTCACTGTATAAGGTGAAAAGAGCGAAGTTAAAATTGTAATTGGGAAAATTTTTTACAGATAATACAAATATTAATATATTTTGGCTAAAAAATACACACAGTTTTGTTTAAGCCTAGCATAATTTGACTAATAATAAATAATAAGAGGAAAAAACGATTGTTTTGTGTGTCACATTCAAAATGTATTGTGACGAAGTTATCATATCTCTAATTTGCCTTTTAACCTGCTTCCAAGTAATAAGTAAATACGTGCAAAATATATTTTTCATATATCTACAATACACCCCATTTGCCAAAATACCCCCTTTACCTTATTAGTACATATTGCAAGATTTATCATAAACATCAATCCATAAAGGAAAATGCGATGAACATCTATTTTAATTGCCATAGAAATCTCGAGATACGTAGTATTTTGGCTCATATTCTTTGAATACCGAGTAAAAAGTGGGAAGATAAATAGAAGTTGCCCAAAATCCTAATTCAAACTGCAAAGATACTTACCAGATCCTTGAGCATTGCATTAATGTGCTGTTGTTCAATAGTCATTTTTCGAAAGTTACTCGCTTATGATAGAAGTCAGAAGAATTTATTCATTCAATTAATGACGGGAATACATAAAGCTGAATACCTTTGAAGAAGAAAAACTGATTCTTTATTCAAAAAAACAACAAATTAAAATGCAACCAACACCAACTACAGTAATACTCTCGTCTCTGTCCAAACGGTGCCAACTGTTCAACCCAATGCGAAAGGTGTATTTATTATTTATAGTGAACCTTTTTGGGTTAAAGGATATTCTAGAATTAATAAATTCCTGTTGACCGAGTTATTTAGGTGGATAAAAATTCATCCTCGTTGTCGTTACGGTTATGTATTATTTTTAAGAAATCATATAGTTAAAATAGTAAGAATAAATAATGAAACAAAGTGCTAGAAAGACACGTCGGTCCTAAATAATTTTTGGATGTGTATTTTGTCTTTAATGTGAGAACATTTGCAATTCTTTTTGCAACTCTAAAAATAATGAAATTTATGATGACTGGCATTTCAGGTATTGTGGTGTTGAATAATTCTGATAAATCGCATGTATTCTAACAAAAATATGGTCTACGTCCCACCGCGTCCTATCACTGAGAAGTTTATATAACACAAGTCCAATAAACCAAGATACATGTATTTCGTATTACGATTAGAAAATTAATTGATGTTCGAGTCGGAATGTAACTATAACATCAAATTATGTTTTAGATTTATTAGCTTACATGACATGATAACGATAAATTAGTATATCAAATATTATTGTTTTATAGTACATCTGATATTTTAATCCTTTCTCTGCAAAGATAGTTTATTATTTTCATTTCGTTCAATAATATAATCATTGAATTAATTACACAACCTGGTGTAATTTCATTGCTATTGCTAAAAGAAAGAATTAAACTTCCAACATTTAATAATATCAATCATAAAACTACAATTTATCCAAAACTCGCATTGCAAACTCGAACGCGACAAATGTTCCAGCATTCACCGGACCAGCACGCCACATACACGCGCCAAATCCACGAAAGAATCCTGCTAGTCCCTCGGTAGCAAATATTTTTTGTGCACAATCCAACGAACTTTTGTAATGTCTTGTTTCGGGTGACAAAAAGTCTGTTTGGATTTTGCTTTTTATCACATCAATAGGGTATATTGATATCCACATACCATATCCTATAACAACAACATATTATACAAAACCTCATGGTCGTGGTACTATAGCACAATATAATTAAACAAATATGTAAATACCTGCAGCAGCACCAAACAAACAAGACTTCCATCCTTCCAACTCATTTCTCATTTTTCCTTCTCTAAGCATCGCGCGTTGAGTAAGATACTCATAAACGAGAAAATACACGCCATATCCTTGAAATTCACGTATAATTGTGATTCCTTGGCCTTTATAGATACCACGAATTCCACGCGACTTATAAAGATATCGAAAACAATCGATTGGTCCTCGAAAGAATGGAAGAGCATCATGTGCTAAAGATTTAGAAATCGTTGTTGGTGCTGATTTTGTTTGAACCTGTAAACCTGTCATCATTTTTTTTATAATATCGAATAAATATAGATAATGCTTAATTAATAAAGCTGAAAAATTTGTTTTTTGTAACTTACGAGTACGAATATGCTCAACTGGCCCTAACATATATAGAAAATATATAAATTATATAAAATAATCTAAAACAAAAATAAATAGAATAAAAAACTAAAAACTTACCCGACACAAAAGAATTCGCAGTTCCAGCTAAAGCACCCGCACAATACAATTGAAGATTATTCAATGGAATAAAAGAAAGTCCTACATTCTCTTTTACAACTTTATTTGCATTTCTTTCGTTAAAAACACGTTTCATATGTTCCAAAATTACAAATTGGATTGATACACACGCGCCAATACCAACTAATGGCGTTGTTGTACCCTAATCAAGAAAAATTTAATTAGGCAAAAAGACATTTGGTTAATTTCAGCTGATGTTTGAAATCAAAATAATAATAAAATAAAAATAAAGTAAAATTTTCACCTTATAGAAAGCAGTAAAACCTTCTTGCTGTCTTGTTTTTTTTACACAATCAAGTAAACTACTATAGCGTGGCTTTTGTCCGGGTGATGGAATTAGTTGTGTTTGTAGACGCTATTCAATTAATTATTACAATAAATATTAAAATATCGAAATGACGACAAAAAAATCCAAGGGGAGTTGACGAATATCCTGGAGGGTAGCCTCTAAAATAAATATCGCTAAGCCCATTTTACGTACTACTTTTACTGTGTCAAAAGGCTAAAAAAATAAAAGGGTCAATTATTACAGAATTTATTTTTTTTGATATTAAATTGTTCAATACCTGTCCAATGAAAACTTGCACAATACCACCAAATGTCCCGCTTGCACAGTCTTTAACAACTCTAAGAATGCCGGTGTCGTTTGTTTTTAGTGATTTCGCGGCCACAGCAGCTGTTAGTGGATTAGTTGTGTCTAAATCAGCTACCACTATACCAGCTGTGGTGTCTGACATTGAACTTTGTTATCGAATTACCCTTACCGTTACTTTTTTATGAAATTTTTCGTTTACCATTTCATCCAAATTTAGGGGCGGAGTAGTGCCAGCCACAAATAGTGCCACACATTCATTAAATTGTATATATGTTGTGGCGCGATATAATCATTATAGTTTTATTATTGGTCAAAATTATATTGTTCTTTGGCAAAAGGATAAATAACAATCAATGATTGATTCAAGCAAAACTTTCTTTAAAAATAGTATTTAATTGAATGTAAATAAAGCATAATAGTTATAGTAATAATTCTCAATGATAAAACAAATATTGTTATTATTTTAGAATGTCAAGGAGTTATGTGTGAGAGTCTATGATGTTGTTATGATCCAAATATTTTATAGCATAGTTATTTTCTTATTTAATTTATTATATTCTTATTGGATGAATTTGAAATCATGTGACTTTTATGTGTAACATGTGATTTTGACATGTGACTTGTACATGTAATTTACATGTGATTTATTATTTAGGGGATTATTATTCATACCCCCCATTTTTGTTATTGGTACCCCCCACCCTTGCATGTTTTACATGATGATCAC